CTCTTTTTTGAAAGAGCTTCAGAAGAATAGGTATTCATTCTTCTTTAAATGTTTGGTAGAATTCCCCTGGGAAGCCATCTGGCCCTGGACTCTTCTTTGTTGGGAGATTTTTGATTACTGCTTCAGTTACCTTGTTGGTTATGGGTCTGTTCAGGTTTCCTGTTTCTTCCTGTTTCAGTTTTGGTAGTTTATAAATTTCCAGGAATGCATCCATTCCTCCTAGAGTGCCTAATCTGTTGGCGAATAGTTGTTCATAATATGTTCTTATGACTATTTGTGTTTCTTCAGTGTTAGTTGTGGTCTCTCCTCTTTCATTCATGATTTTATTAATTTGGATCTTTTCTCTTTTCTTTTTGATAAGTCTGGCCAGGGGTTTATCAATCTTATTAATTCTTTCAAAGAACCAGCTTCTAGTTTCATTGATCTGTTCTACTGTTGTTCTGGTTTCAATTTCATTGATTTCTGCTCTAATCTTTATTATTTCTCTTCTCCTGCCAGGTTTAGGCTTTATTTGCTGTTCTTTCTCCAGTTCCATTAGATGTAAGTTTAGCTTGTGTATTTGAGACTTTTCTAATGTTTTGAAGAAGGCTTGTATTGCTCTGTACTTCCCTCTTAGGACTGCCTTTGCTGCATCCCAAAGGTTTTGAACAGCTGTGTTTTCATTTTCATTTGTTTCCATGAATTTTTAAAATTCTTCTTTAATTTCCTTGTTGACCCATTCATTCTTTAGTAGGATGCTCTTTAACCTCCAAGTGTTTGAGTTCCTTCCAAATTTCCTCTTGTGACTGAGTTCAAGTTTCAAAACACTGTGGTCTGAAAATATGCAGGGAATGGTCCCAGTCTTTTGGTATTGGTTGAGACGTGATTTGTAACCTAGTATGTGATCTATTCTGGAGAATGTTTCATGTGCACTCGAGAAGAATATATATTCTGTTGCTTTAAGATGGAATGCTCTGAATATATTTGTAAAGTCCATGTGGTCCAGTGTGTCATTCAAAGCCCTTGTTTCCTTGTTGATCTTCTGCTTAGATGGTCTGTCCATTGCCATGAGTGTGGTGTTAAAGTCCCCAACTATTATTGTATTATTATCAATGTGTTTCTTTAATTTTGTTATTAATTGGTTTATATAATTTGCTGCTCCTGTGTTAGGAGCATAAATATTTATAATTGTTAGATCATCTTGTTGGATAGACACCTTAATTATGATATAGTGTCCCTCTTCATCCCTTACTACAGTCTTTCATTTAAAATCTAATTTGTCTGATATGAGGATTGCTATTCCAGCTTTCTTTTGAGGTCCATTAGCATGATAAATGGTTCTCCACCCCATCACTTTCAATCTGGAGGTGTCTTTGGGTCTAAAATGAGTCTCTTGTAGAGAGCATATGCATGGGTCTTTCTTTCTTTCTTTTTAAAGATTTTATGTATTTATTTGATATATATAGAGAGAGCACAGGCAGGGGGATTGGCAGGCAGAGGGAGAGGGAGAAGCAGGCTCCCTGCTGAGCAAGGAGCCCAATGTAGGGCTTGATCCCAGGACCCTGGGATCATGACCTGAGCTGAAGGCTGACACTTAACTGACTGAGCCACCCAGGTGCTCAAGATCTTGCTTTTTTATCCAATCTGATACCCTGTGTCTTTTGATTAGAGCATTTAGCCCATTTACATTCAGAGTAACTATTGAAAGATATGAATTTAGTGCTATTGTATTACCTGTAAAGTCCCTGTCTCTATAGATTGTCTCTGTTTCCTTCTGGTTTCTGTTACTTTTGGGCTCTCTCTTTGCTTACAGGATACTTTAATATTTCTTGCAGGGTTGGTTTAGCAGTCACAAGTTCTTTTAGTTTCTGTGTACTAGAAGCTGTTTATCTCTCCTTCCATTCTGAATGACAGCCTTGCTGGATAAAGTATTCTTGGCTGCATGTTTTTCTCATTTAGTTCACTGAATATATCATGCCCTCCCTTTCTGGCCTGCCAGGTCTCTGTGGATAGGTCTGCTGCCAGCCTAATGTTTCTACTCCTGTAGGTTAAGAACCTCTTGTCTCAAGCTGCTTCCAGGATTTTCTCTTTATCTCTGAAATATGCAAGCTTCACTATTATATGTTGGGATGTTGATCTATTTTTTTTTTTTTTTTTTTTGAGAGGGGTCCTCTTTACCTCTTGGATTTGAAAGCCTGTTTTCTTCCCCAGATTAGGGAAGTTTTCAACTGTGATTTGCTGAAATATACCTTTTGCCCTTCCCTCCCTTTCTTCTTCCTCAGGGACCCCAGTAATTCTAATATAGTTTCATTTTATGGTATCGCTGATTTCACGAAGCCTCCCCTCATGATCCATTAGTTGTTTTTCTCTCTTTTCCTCAGCTTCCTTCCTTTCCATCAACTTGTCTTCTGTGTCACTCTTTCTTCTGCCCCGTTTACCCTAGCTGTTGGAGCATCCAATTTAGACTGCATCTCAGTTAAAGCATTTTTAATTTTGGCCTGATGAGATTTTATTTCTGCACTAAGAGATTCTCTAGTGTCTTTTATGCCTTTTTCAAGCCCAGCTAGTAACTTTATAATCATTATCCTGAATTCCAGCTCTGACATTTTCCTTGTATCCATATCAATTAGACCTGTGGCAGAGTATTACCTCTGGTTCTTTCTTTTGTTGTGAATTCCTCCTTCTAGTCATTTTGCCCAGAGAAGAATGGATGAATGAAGCAAAATAAAAAACATCAACCATGTCCCAAATGAAATATACACTAGACAAATCCAAAGAGATCAGAAACTAAAAAATAAAAGTAAAGAAAAAAAGGGGGGGTAGAGAATATAATCCAGGTAGACAAAACAGGGTGATCCACTTGGTCCTGGGCGTATTTTGGTCTCTTTGTTAAAAGACACTAAATCCCAAAATTGTAAAGAAAGCAAAACTTATATATATAGAAAAAAAAATTGAATACAATGAAAGGAAGTAAAAAATGAAGAATATATCTATAAAATGTAAATGTAAAAAAATTAAAGTTAAAAGAAGACTTAAAAACAAAGAGTTGATAAAATAAGAAACTAGTTGAAAAGGAAAAAAGAAAGAAAAAGACAATTTTAAACTGAAAGATAAACGAATCATGAGAAAAAACCTTGAATTCTATACACTATTTTCCCCTAGTGCTGGAGTTTTGCAGTCCTGTGTGCTCCGTAAACTTGGTATTTGCCTGCTGTTCCAGCTGGTCTTCTGGGGGAGGGGACTGCAGTGCTGATTCTCAGATGTCTTTGCCTGGGCAGAGTTACACTGCCCCTTTCCAGGGGGCTGGGCTCAGTGTAAGCTGCTACTGGTTGCTGTATGTGGCTTTTGTTCCCTGAAGGTTTTCCATGCCTCTTTAGAGGATGAAAATAAAAATGGCCATACCCTGATCTCCAGCCCCAGGGCTGAAAGATCGTGACCCCTGCCTTCAGTAAACCCACAGGGATAAGTGGTCTTCACTTTTGTGAGTGCCAAACTCTGTAGACTCCTGCAGTTCACACCCACACTGATCCTCCTGGGGGAAGGCAGAGGGTCACAGTGCTTCTGTCCTTTGCAGGGCCCCCACATGGAGAGCCATCACCTGGTCATGCACACTCTCATGACATCCCTCTGGGGAGAAGGTGGAGGGTCACCGCTTTTCTGTCCTTTGCAGGGCCCCTGCATGGAGAGCTGTCTCCCAATCATGCCAGGGTTTGCGGTTTATGGCAAACAGAGCTGATGACCCCCTCCTGGGCTTGCTGACCCTAACTGGTTTCCCCACTCCAATGCTTGGGAACTCTGCAGGCTCAGGCACTCCTGTTCTGTGACCCTGGGGATCCTGAGACTGTACTGTCCCACCTAGGATTCTGCCCCCCTTCACCACCTGAGTACCTTTCAGGCAGGGACATCTCTCACTGGAGCAGATTTCTAAAGGTTCTGATTTTGCTCTCCAGGGCTATATCACTTTCCATTAGCCGACTTACAGAGGCTCCCTCTGCCTGCCATTTATCTTCCAAAATATTCCCTCAGGTTCACTTCTCCACACTTCCTACCTTGCAAAAAGTGGTTGCTTTTCTATTTGTATAATTCTAGCAATTCTTTTCTTATATCTGAGATTGAATTCATAGGTGTTCAGAATGATTTGATAGTTATCTAGCTAAATTCAAGGGACCAGATGAAACGAGGCCCCCTACTCTTCCACCATCTTGCCTCCCTCCAGCCTCACATCTCTCTTTCAAGATCACAGAAATCTTCTCCTAAAAGAACCCTCCACTGTACCCTTAGTATTATAGCACATACCATTACTAAAGCATCCTTGCCAAGGGGAACGAGACATCATCTTTGGCCTAGATCAGTCATGATTTATCCCTTGGGGTTGGGCATGGGCCTGACCACCCTTGTAGCATGTAGGTACTGGACACCTGAACAAAATCATGATTCTGTTAAAGGGATGAGGAGGAGAGAGGGAATGACCATAAGCAACAGACACCGTCATCCACAGAGAGGCAGGCAATAATTAAAAAGGGGTACCGTAGAGATGGTAATGCCTGCTTGAGTCTTGTCAGGAAGTAGTTATCAGTCTTAGGAAGTCTGGGGACTAGCCCTCCAGGTGTAAAGAAGAGCAATGCACTGCTTATGAGTATGAATACAGGGTTTCTTTTTGGGGTGATGAAATGTTCTAAAATTGATTGTGGTGATGGTTGCACACCATCTGTGAATATACTAAAATCTATCAAATTATATACTTTAAATGGGTGAATTATTTGGCATATGAATGATATCTCAAAGATGTTATTTTTTAAAAACAGTAAATGCAATGCCTTGAGACTAGACAAACTTAGTATGAATCACAAAAATGGTTTGATTCACTGGGTCAGATTCAGTGGAAAATTCTTGTAGCCAACCTTAGTTACAGTTCATCCATTCACAAAGGGTATGAAACTCAATTTCAGAACTTTTAATAAAAGGTAGAGAAATACCCTGTATTTCAGGTGTGATATTCCCTGTTGGTGTTTCTTTCCCAGGAATGCAGTTTTCCTAAGCTTCAATCCACTCAGCATGTGTGCCTTCCAACAGACCTGCAGCCACTAGTAGGTGGAATCTTATCTTATCTGAGGGGCTTCTTCTATGACTTACAGGGAGATGTTGCATTCTCCTTATGTATAACATCTGGTCTACTAATTAAGCTGATAATTTTCCTTGGATTCAGCTTTAACAATAGATATTACCCAACTTAGTTTCTGTCTTCTCTTTTGTGGCTGAGATTTGCTGTTTTGGGATTGGTTTGTTTGTTTTAGTTTTACCACAATTACAAGAAAGCATTTAAAAAATTATTTTAAGATTATTGAACTATAATTGACATACAATGTTATATTAGTTTCAGGTGTAAAACATACTGATTCAACAATTTTATATATTACAAGAAAGCATTTTTATCAGAGCTAGTGCTATGCACCTTGCAGCTGGGCGTTTCTAACACTCTGCAGAGGTGCAAATGAGCATTTGTCAAGAACTGGCACTTGTCCAAAGCTGTACAAGGGAGGGAGCTCAAGTCCATCTGATATACATAATTGAGGAACAAAAAGAAGGCCAGTGTTGCTGGAGTTTAGAGAAGGAGATAGGACAAAGAGGTAGGCAGGGACTAGATCATATAGGGCCTTGATGATCATGAGAGATTAGATTTTACAGCTAAATGTAATTGGGAGCCACTGGAAGTCTTTAAACAAGGACATGACAAAATATGATAGGTATTTTAAACAGATCAATTTGGAGCCATAAATTTGGGGGAAATACCTGCTACACAAATAACTAAAGAAGACTAGTATCTAGAGTATAAAACGTATGCCTACAGATCAATATAATAAAGACAAAAAACACAATTGGAAAATCAGCAAAATACTTGAGGCAGCAGTTCCCCAAAGAGGAAATCCAGATGTCAATAAACGTGTGAAAAATATTCAAGCTCATTATCAAGCAGGAAAATATATACTAAAACCACAATAAAATACCCATATAAGCCACTAGATAGGTAAAAGTAAGAAAAAATTCTGATATTACCAAATAACTTTGACAATAGTAATGCAAACTCATCCTCTTGCGGTCAGTATTAAATTGATATAACCATTTTGGAAAATAGAAGGTATACATCTTTTTTATTTTATTTTATTTTATTTTATTTTATTTATTTGTGAGAGGAGGCGGAGGGAAGGAATCAGAGAGAATCTCAGGCAGGCTCCACACTGAGTGTGGATCCTGATGTGGGGCTCCATTTCACGACTGCGAGATCATGACCTGAGCCAAAACCAAGAGTCAGATGCTTAACTGACTGAGCCATCCAGGCGCCCCCATGTTTATTAAGACAGTCCAATATCTATATTCATATATATCTGTATATCTCACATATATATATATCTTAGAATCTTGCATGTTAGTATCAGGAGACATGTATATTAGAATGTTCACTGCAGCACTAGTAATAACTGAAAATATCCCAAAGTCCATAAATCATATAATCTAACGATACTAATTATGGTCTATTATATTATGAAATTTTATACAGAGCTCCAGCTCTATCCATCAGCATCAGCTCATGAACATAATATTGAGCAAAAAGAAGCAAGTCACAAAAGAATACATATAATGGGATTCCATTTATATAATTTCAAATTGATAAAATGAAACTATATTATTTAGGCATGTATACACGTGGTAAAATGGAAGTAAGACAAGAGAATGATTAAAAAAAAAAAGATTGTGGGGGCGCCTGGGTGGCTCAGTCATTAAGCGTCTGCCTTCGGCTCAGGTCATGATCCCAGCGTCCTGGGATCGAGCCCCGCATCGGCTCCCTGCTCTGTGGGAAGCCTGCTTCTCCTTCTCCCACTCCCCCTGCTTGTGTTCCCTCTCTTGCTGTGTGTCTCTCTGTCCAATAAATAAATAAAATCTTTAAAAAAAAAAGATTGTGTTCATCTCAATAGGAAGGGAGGAGATGTGAGCAGGAGGCAGCCTTATGAGGTACTAAAAGTGTACCATTTCTATGAAGCACAAAACTTTTTAATTTTGATGAAGCTCAGTTTATCTATTTTTTTTTCCTTTGTTGCTTATGCTTTTGGTGTTATACTTAAAAAGTCCTTCTTGGGGCACCTGGGTGGTTCAATTGGTTAAGTGTTCCACTCTTGATTTTGGCTAACGTCATGATCTCACAGTCCTAAGATCGAGCCCCACATCAGTCTCTGCTCAGTGGGGAGTCTGCTTGGGATTTTCTTTCTTTCTGTTCCCTCCCCTGCTCATGCACACTCTCTCTCTCAGAAATAAATAAATAAAATCTAAAAAAAAAAAAAAATCCTTCCCAAATCTACAGACACAAGTATTTACTCCTATGTTTTCTTCAAAGAGTTTTATAGTTTTGGTTCTTACATTCAGATCTTTAGTCCATTCTGAGTTAATTTTTTGTATATAGTGTGAGATAGAGGGTCCAATATCATTCTTTTGCAGATAATGTTCCATTTCTAAACCTGTGTGTGATACATTGATATTTACTATATAATATGTTGTATATACTCTTCCATATGTGAAATATATTTCATAGATTTAAAAATACAATAGGAAATAATTGCTGGGAACTGTGTGGAGTGCCCTGTCTGTGGAGAATATGTTATAGTGAAATGAAAGACAAATCAGCAACACCAGTTGGAATGTCTTACGGGGTTTTTGACTGAAGTAACGGGATAGATGGTGGTGCCATTAACTGGGACAGCAATGAATGCAGAAGGAAAAAGGTTTTGGGGGGGAGAAACAAAATTATCTGAAGGATATGTTAAGTTTGAGGAGCTTTTCAACATCTACGTGGGGAAGTCAAAAAGGCAATCTGATATATGAATCTGGAGTTTAATGTGGAAAGTGGGTCCACAGGTATACACTTGTGAGTCTGTGGCATACAGCTGTCATAAAGCTATGGAACTGGCTGAGATTATACAGGGAGACAGTGTAGACACAGGAGGGAAGAGCATCGAGGACTTGCGTAGAGTGTTAATAATTAGAAGGTAGGCAGAGGAAGCAGTGCGTCCTCCCAAGGAGACTGAGAAGGAGCAGCCAGTGAGGAAGGAAGGGAACAGAAGAGTACGATTTCAGGAAATCTTAGAGAAGAAAGTGTTTCAAAGAGAAAGGAATTGTCGGATACTGCTGAGATCAACTATGATTTAGGCAGAGAACTAATTATTAGATTTGGCAAAGTGAAGATGGTCAGCAAATTTGATAAGAGATATTTTGTGGAGGAAGCAGGCAAAAACCTGATTGGCTTTACACAGCACATTGGGGAATTGAACACTCAGTGACCACCATTCAGTTTGATCACTTTCTTCTTTTTTACAGTTTCTTTAAAAATATACCAGGAGGCATGTCATCATTGGCCACCAATTCTTCTTTATAAAGCAGAGCATGTATTCCTTGTTATGTGTAGCTAGTCGGTATCAGAACTGAACCCATCATACATTTTCAGTCCATGTTATGGCTCACAAAATAGTGATTATCTAAAAAAAAAAAAAAAAGTTCTCCTGAAGCCCTGGATTTTAGTAATGAGCAGAACAAAAAGTTCTCTAGCACTTCTCCTTATGCCACGTATATGCAAGAACTGATTCATTTTCTAGACATTAGTGATTAGTAGCTTCATGCAACTCTAAATAAAATATTTGCTAGCATGAGCACAGAACAGTAATTCCTCTTTCACATTAAATGCCATTGACGTTATGCAATGTCAAATAAGTTGACAATGGAATTTTGCCAGTAGTTTGTTTTGCTTTCTCTGAGCGTATTTTCGACAACTTTCCAGCTAGTTTTTACAAACATTTTGACAACAGTGAGAACCACCCCATTTAGTATACAAGGAACACAACTCTGAATAAAATATTGATAGTTTTGGTCTCTTTCTGATTTTAGCAAAAATAATTATTTAATCTGTACTATATTGTTTTGTTTTAGTAATGAAAAATTTAATTGGTTTACTGTAGGTTACAGTGTTATGTTAGAAATTGAAATCAAAGCATCATTAATTTCTTGCCAAAACTTGACAAAGTTTCTTAGAAGATAGCACAGTGTGAAAAAAATAACTGCATTGCTAATTTTCAGATATTCACCATCACACTTCATATATTTTTTACTTGTTTCTGTGAAATTATCACATTTACTATCTAAATGTGATAATTATCTAAAAACAGGGGTCCTATTCATTTTTTATATTTATGACATTCTGAATTTTAATATTTACATTACCATTTTCATCATTATATTTTTGCTGTAGTGCTTCCAAAATTCTTAATAACATTTCTTCAAACATTGGAGACATAAGACCACACAGTAGTAACAACACAAAAATTAAAGTGTTGTGGAAATATTTTAAATCGAGATGAACTATACCCGATAATTGAATATTAGTGGAGACAAATTGCCAAGCACGGTTCTTATAGTTCATGTGATATTTTCAAAAATGATGTTATCAGAGAGAATGTAGCAGGACTTATTATTTAAAGACAGTAGTGTAAAGTTAGCATTTTTCCTTTTGGCGGCTAAATCACCTAAAAGTAAAGAGTAGAATAAGAAAAAGTATGAGACAAATCCTTAAATTACAAAATAAGTGGATGGGAGTGAGAGTATTGGAGGATGTTAAGATTGCAGATTTTAGAAAGATCTCATTAGATTTAGGGTTTCAGATTGGCTTGGTGTCAGGGTTACGGTTAAGTAGCAAAATATACTGCTTAAAAGTTAAGGGCATAGCTTAAGTCTCTTGTATAGAGCCTAAATATCTCATTTCAAAGGCAGGAATGCAATTCACAGGTTGGTTGCAGGAGCTTCCCTGGATCAACATGGTTCCAAGAAGCAGAGAAAGTATAGCAACGTATGTATCACATATTGGAGTTGTAGTTGCAGAAAACAGTCTGCATCTGTGACAGTGGAGAGAAGAGAGACTTTGCATTGTGAACATCCCTGTAGTGGCCTATCTCCATTGCCTGGGGAAAAGTCAAACAAACTCCCACACAAAATACTAGGTCATAAGCAAGATTCCTGTTGGCTTGGAAAACAGTGTAGAAAGCCAGAGTAACAGGAAGCTGCCTGGCTTTGGGAAGCCAGGAAGAGCAGTGCTGGCCTGAGGAAATATTCCTATAGCAATACAATTG